GTAATAAACCATTATCAAAAAGCATGCAGTCGTCTATCCTGTGGAACATATTGATTAAAAAGGCACGACTTTATTTACCAAAAATAGCAATATGGGTTTTTCTGTAACACTTTTAAAAATGTGATGTATATTGTGTAATTGTAAAATACACATGTATTCCATATATAAATAATTTTGTATATATAATTTTTTTTATATTGTCTCTTGTATCGTCGTACATTTTCCGCATAAGATAAAAATGTGTTTATGTTTGATTAAATGTATGTTTATACGTTTATATTGAATATTATTACAACATAAAAAATAAGTACTTGTGAGATACAAAAACATATCTAGATTTAGATATTTCTTATTCTATATAAGTGCTGTATATATCCATAACAAATCACAATCATATAAGTTAACATAAATTGAGTTTTAGTAAACATTAAGAGATGAGACTGTCATGTATATCGTTGGCTCTTGCTACAATCTTTATTATGACTATCACGCTTGCACCCAAAGTTTGGGCTAAGCCTTATCCAGATATCTGTTGGTGCTGTCGTACGTATTATTCGTTCTATATATATATATAATTAAAGTTTATTTATTTAAATTAGCATTGTTTTGCACAAACATAATAAATTTAACAATATTGTCATGCAAAAATATATTGATGCATAATTTTATATTGGTAAATGCTTTTTTATCTCTTATATTTGTCAAATTAATTTCTAATATATATATTTTTTTTTGTTCTTTTACAAACAATCTTTATTATAAACTTTTAATATTCATAATTTTTTTATTTGTGAAATTCAAATTATTTCTTTTTCTTTAGCTACGTGGCCTACTCCCGCTCCAGCGGAATAGGAAGTTGACATTTCTCATCACTGCAGCACTGGTGATTATTTACAAACAATATGTCAATTAAAAATTGCCATTTATATACTAATGTTAATAAAAATATTTTTTATATTTAAGAAAAGATAATAGCTGCGTCTTCTTCGTGATGAAACCTGGAATAAAATTTGCAGCAAAGTCTGGAAAAAAATTGGAATTAAAATGGAATATATACATATAAAAAGATGAAATACATAAACAATACGTCATATGTATATTTTTGAATAACAATGTTAATCATATTTGTATTTATATATTATATTTGTTTATTTTTTAATAACATAACAGAAAATAAACAACAAGCATGTATAATCAGTATTGTGAATTCTTTTACTGAACATAATATTGCATTCTTCATTGCATTCGTATTATAATTTATTATCTTAGAATGTTCTTTTCCAGTTATACATTTTAATTATTTTGATTTACACCAAAATAATACTCTTTATACAATTTCTTTCAAATAATACATATGTTAAATTTTTTAGACAATAGGAAAAATAGACATACTTTTTTCTTTTTATTACGTTGTATATATCTTAAAACTTGTTTACTAAAAATCTAGTCATTACTAATATTTTCTACAATTCTAATTACACTTCTACTATTCCAAATAGCATTCTTGTCCAAAGGTGAATCTTCAAGATAACGTCTTAATAACGTCTTTAAGTATTATGTCCTGTTTTTGGATATGATGCTGTCTGGGATGTAATATGAAACTATTTTTAATTTTGTGTAAGGAGTTCGTTTATCAATTTCATCAATTGTATTCATATTTTTGTGATTCATAGATAAATTTTTTTTTATTAGATAAGCATAGAATAATATATATAATAGTTATGTTTATTACCAAGTTTAACTAATTGTAAGATCTTAATAATTATATACACTGGCTTTAAAAAATTAGGGAATTACCTGTTTTATCTTCTAAAAATAGGCAGATTTCAAGATAGAGCAACTTTGTCAAAAATAATCGTAACGAGATTTTTTAAAAAGCATTTTCCAGCTTGAAATCTTTACTTTTCAAATTGATATATATGTTGCAACCTTTTTGTATAATCAGCCTTTTTACAAAAAGGCTAGCCTCTTTGCAAAAAGACGCCTTTTTGCATAACGCCTTCGAAAATGGTTTGGGTTAGGGTTAAGTTTGGGTTAGTTTAAAACAAGGTGGAGCCCCTCCGGGGGGCTCAACATACTGCCTCCACACATGTTCTTTACAACGCAAAGCCTGCAGTGATCCACATAGGTTTGCAATAAATGTTTGCAATAAATAACTTAACCCAAACCATATATTTGTAACAACCTTCCTTTCGAGTCTTGGATCAGCTCGCCGGCGTGTCCAGGAGTCGAAAGTGGTTCAGGCGAGGGAAAGAGGGGTTCCGGAAATGACGAAAGGTACTTCTTTGACGAATACAATATGAATTTATTCTCTATATTTGACTATGTACAGCTATATACAGGCCCGCGGTGAGCCGCGCCATGGGTGACATGGACGGTGCGCAGCGCGTCGCAGCGGGTAACGCGGGCGGCGATAGTCGCGGCCGGTGCGTGGTCGCGGCGCGATGACGAGGTGGCACGCGCTGTTCTCGTGGTACGGTGACAGTCACCATGTGGTGACTGCCGGACGTTTCGTGGAAGGCCCCCGCGTCACGCACGGAATCTCCTCACGTCAGCAAGCGGGAGTTTCGGTCGGCGGTATCGATCTTCTCCTGGGAGGCGTAGGTCGGGACTCGAGTCGGCGGCCAAGACACTTGGCTCTGGCCCTGAACACGGGGCCTGAGGTGCTGCTGACTCGAACGGGATGGAGTTTGGCCGGGTCGCTCGCCACGAACTCGTGGCGCAGGCAAAGACTCGTTACCCGAGAGCGAGAGCCGAGAAGGTGGTGGAAGGAGCTCAAGGTAGCCGTCGAGAACTTCTTGATCGAAGCCAAGACACTTGACTTCAGGCTATTTCTGAGAAGCGGGTATCGTCTAGTTGCTGGAACGGTCGGACGGTTCATAGACGACAGGTCCCTTGGTGCTTTTTGCCCGGCTTTTTATACCCCCGGGTTGTCGGTTCTAGCGCGGTAGTGGGGGGAGACGTGTAGCGCAGCGCTTCTGCGCCACGTCTCCCGCACTATCGTTTAAACGTATAACGTTTAAACATTCTTGCGGTGTTCAAACGATTATAACGGGCGCGTTCGCGCCGTTTCGTCGCCCGACTGCTGTTCGGTCGCGCGGTATCGGCTGTTTGTCGCCGGGACGATGCGTTTCCCGGAGTGCATTGTTACATATTTCTTGGCGTTATCCAAAAAGGCGTCGTTTTTTGCAAAAAAAGGCTAGCCTTTTTGCAAAAAGGCTGATTATACAAAAAGCCTGCGACATATATATATATATATATATATATATATATACAG